TTCCTACCACCTACCATTGCTAGGCATTGTGTAGATGCTTTACAGTCATGATTTATGGTTCTAAAAACCATTCTTAGGGGGCTGGGGATTTAGCTCAGCGGCAAAGTGCCTGCCTGGCAAGCGCAAGGTCGTGAGTTCGATTCCCGGTACCGGAGAAAAAAAAAAAAAAAAAAAAAAAAAAAAAAAAAACCATTCTTAGGCTAACATTTAAAGGTAGTTTTTTTGTCTTTTTGAGACAAGGTTTCACTATGCAGTTCAAGCTGGACTCGAACTCACTTTATAGCCCTGGCTGCCTTTGAGCTCATAGAAATCCTCCTGCCTCAGCCTCCCAAGTGTTGGGATTACACGTATGAGCTACCATGCCCAGCTTTTTCTTTTAAATAGAAACAAAACTTACTAATTTAAATGCTTCATCCAAGGCCGTGTAGCTGGGAGGTAGAACTGGGATTTGAATGCAAGTTTTTCTCCCACACATGCAGCACTTGCTGCATAGAAAAACAGTTGAATAAATTGCACCTACTAATTCAGACAAATTTCACTTGTAAAATCTGAGACATGCCTCCTGTCCTTATATCCTAATATCTTTCATGATATTCATGAAAAAGAAAATCCGCTGCACTCTTATCATGAGTCTGGAAAACAGAACGTTATCCCAGACAACAATGATAAGCTATTTTTGTCTCCAGTCCCGGTGATTTAGAACCTATCAGGCAGAACAAGCAGTCCTGATTCAAATATAAAAATGAATCAAATCTAGAGTCAGAGTATTCTGTGTAGTCACCAAGGCAAAGATCAGAAACTCCACTCCCGCGGCATTTCTGCGCAGTACGAAAGCTGCCTGCGTTTGTTAGTGAGGACGGAGGCGTCCTCACAGACACGGCAACAAGTCAAGGCCCTTCCGTCCTTCAGTGACTTCCGTCTAGCTCAAGGTCTTCCCATGCCGTAGGATTCACCATCTGCTTGGTGGATACGGCAGTTGCCATGGGGTCCACTTCCTGCATCTCGGGTGAACTTTGTGCCACCCTGAAACCCAAAGGGAGGTTGGTCTGCCATGGAGGGCACCACTACTCACTGGTACTGAGCAATATTTGCAGTAATTTGGCCCAGACTGGATTTCAGCACATGAGTTCCGTACAGGAAGGACTGTTCTGCTCCAGGCTTTATCCACACTTTATACCCGGCCTAAGGTTCCAGGTAATCCGGAGCTGTTACCATGCAGCGCGAACCTGTGGGTCTCGGTGAATTTTCCGAAGCAGGTTCCCCAGCGACACCAGCTCGTCCCTGGAGGTATTGGTGGCCGGCTTCAGCCTCTGGTCACTCACGCCGGAAGCAGTAGGTGCTGTCGGGTCTCCTGGCCATCTTCTCAAACATCACCCGGGTCTCCTCTCCAGGGAAAGGTTGCATTTTCTCACTGGGTCTGAACCCTAGATACAAGTTGTGGTATCGTAAAGTGTACATCTAGCTAGGTACAGAGATTGGCGTAGGTCTACTTCTGCATGTGCATGTGTTACTGTAGGTTATGTGTATATACTGTGTGCACAGATATTTCCTACTGAAGTCTAGTGAGAAGGTCTCCAAGCAATGACACCCTCGGAGCTGTGACCACCCAGATCTTGGTTCCAGGTACAATTCCTCACTAAACGGACCTGGGGCTCCCCAGAGAAATGGCGGATCCTAGAGCAGAGCAAGAAGGACACATGAGGCATCTGGAACATTTTCTTGAGCCACAAAGTACGGAAGCGCTTTTAAAAATGATGCAGACCTGTCAGAGAGGTACCATGAAGGGGCTCCCCCCGGCCAAATCGCAGGGAAGAAATAATGAAGTAATAGATGATAACTCACTGGCTACTGCAGGAATCTACTGGTCTTCATAGATATACATGGCTGAATAAACAGGGGAAGATGGACAATCTTTACCACATTAGAACGCAAATAATAAACGTCACTACCTGGCAAGTATCACGGTGATTACTGACTCAGACACAAAGCATCAATGGATTCTAAATCAGTGGGTGAGAGTTCACAGAGGAATAAAATATTTACATAATGTCGACGATTTTCTGCCACAAAATAACTCATTTCGGAGGTAAAAATCATACCTTTGTAGCTGAGAAATCTGCCACCGAATCTGATGTTTGTTAACGTTAACATCATGGCCAGGGCACAAGTCAACCTCGTGTGCCTTCTGATATGAGAAGCTGAGAGGAATATTGCATGACGTCTGTCAAATTCCTACCGAAAAGGGGTGGCTTAAATGTAATCGTGAAGGATCATCCTGGAAACCTAAGCTGAAGAACATTCTACAAAGACAGTGAGCCTGTCTTTTAAAAATAGTTAGGTCGAGCTGGGCGTGGTGGCGCGCCCTTGTAATCCCAGCGCTCGGGAGGCTGAGGCAGGAGGATCATGGTGAGTTCAAGACCAGCCTGGGCCACAAAGTGAGCTCAAGACCAGCCTGAACTGCATAGTGAGACCTGTCTCAAAAAGACCAAAAAAAAAAAAAAAAAAAAAAATAGGTTGGGGCTGGGGATTTAGCTCAGTGGCACAGCACTTGCCTGGCAAGTGCAAGGTCGTGAGTTCAATTCCTGGTACTGGAAAACAAAACAAACAAACAAAAAATAGGTAGGTCTCAGTGGATAAGGAAAGATCGTAGTACTTTTCCAGAATGAAGATTAAAGAGATAATAACATTTAAATGAACCCAGGATTCTAGATTAGATCCTGAGCCAAAAGGGGTTTAAACATCTTACTATAAGTGACATTATTAAGGTAATTATAGAAATTAAATGAGATAGCCTAGATCAGTGGTGGTGAACCTGTGGCATGCGTGCCCCAGCAGGCTGTTTGTAACATTGAAGCTCTGAAAGGTTTGCCGTCGTTGTTCTGGATGACAGCCTGGTATCAGTATTAATTCCCCGGCTAAGAGGGTTGTACTGTGCGTGTGCAGGAGAACCTGGGGGTCAATGGCAGGCTGGGCGGAGGGTCTGGGGGAGTTCTTTGTACACTGTGTGTCTCTGCAGCTTTGAAAGAACTTCAAAATAGAGGGCAGAGGGTATAGCTCAGTGGTAGAGCATCCGCCTAGCCTGCGTGGGATGCTGGCTTGGATTCTGGCACTGCAAAAAAGTCTTAAATTACAAAAGAGAAAGTACTTCAAGATAAGAACTAGATAAGTAAAGACAAACCCCAAACGGGGGACTGCCGTGGCTTCCCACTGCCTGGCTCCGCGAGCAGCTCCGCACCCCTCCCTGCTGCACTTGACTTCTCTAGCCAGCCTTGTCTGTCTTCAATTCTGAAACACGGCACATGGCTTTCCACCTCAGTCCCTTGGTGTTCACCGCTCCTTCTTCCTGGAAAGATTTCTCCTGGTCTCCCTGAGGCTCCCATCCCACATCGCCCTCCGTTTATTATGGGTCTCCTTAGGCTTTTAAGGTGTTTTCACCACACTTGGTAAATTGCCCTATTTGCTGACCTCTTTGCTGCCTGTCAGTAAGTCTGAGGGTAAAGTGCTTAGTCTCTTCCACCACCAGGGCACGCCCAGTAGCTAGGACAGTGCCTGGCACCCAAGAGGAACTTAGTAAGTACTGCTGCTTGGAGGCCTAGTCCTTTGACCTGACCCGAGTAGAATGAAAAAGAAATGACAACAACAACGACAGCGAAAGGCAAGACAGAAATAGAGTTTGGGGCCAGATACTTTGGGGAAAGGCAGAATCTCCACGTGTCCTCTTTGAGAGACACAGTGTCTCAGGAGCCCTCCCAGGATGAATGAGCTCTGCTGACCTGCACTTAACAAAGCAATTCCTACTGCATTTGAACACGAGATCCTCTGGCAACTGGACTGTGTAGAAGTACTACTTTTCACTAAGTAGTAGACAAAACATTTATTATTGGTGTAAAACCCTGTCCATTATTGTTATGTTCATTAGAAAGAATGTAAAACACTATGGTAAGATTTTTCTTTTTTTGTTTTTTTTCCGGTACCAGGAATTGAACTCACGACCTTGCACTTGCCAGGCAGGCGCTGTGCCGCTGAGCTAAACCCCAGCCCCGCAATGGTAAGATTTTTCTATAGTACATGCTCCTATGGCACAGGTGAAACAAACAAAACAAAAATGTATTCATATGTGAAAACCTTTAAAGTTCCCTAAGTGTCAGAAGCTATTTCAGGGCCGGGGATATAGCTCAGCGGCACAGCGCCTTCTTGGCAAGCACAAGGTCCTGAGTTCGAGTCCCCGTACCAAAAAAAAAAAAAAAGAAAGAAAGAAAGAAGAAGAAGCTGTTTCATTTGACCCAAAAATGGAGCCACGGACGCCGCATCATATTCATGGCAGAGTGCAGCCACCTCTTCTTCAGCAAGGAGGCGCGCACAGTCCTGCGGGTGCAGCGGTCGCTGGGTGCTGTGCCAAGGAGCAGGGCAGCGGGCTGCGGGCTGTCACGCGGCTGCCGCGGCCGCTCAGGGACACTTGTGCACTACAGGGGCTCCTGTAGGTCTCCTGGGTTCCAGCGGCGAGAGCCAGCCAATAGCAATCACCCTAAGGACAGGTTTTTAGCCTATAACAGATTTTTTAACCTACTACTGCATGTAAGGCATGGTTTTCCTAAACAACCCTAGCTGCGTTCTCCTCAGACTTTAAGTGACTTTGGAGAATAGTCACTATCCTTCCATGTGAGGGTTATGATCATTTCTAAAGACGTTCATTACTTTTTCGCAGCACTAGGGTCTGGAGCCCGGAGCCTCCCGCCTGCCACACAAGTGTACTAACTCTGGCCTACGTCACCAGTCCAGAAGCAAGACAGTCTTGCTAAGTTGCCCAGGCTGGCCTCAAACTTGAGATCCTCCTGCCTCAGCCTTGTAAGTAGCTAGGATTACAGGCAATAAATTTATTTCAAATTCATGTGCCATGTTTGGCCTGGTTTGGTTTTACAGGTTTTTGGTGGTTTTGTTTATTTTGAGACAGGGCCTTGCTCTGTAGTTCAGGCTGGTCTTGAATTCACTATGTAGCCCAGGCTGGGTTTGAATACATGGCGATCCTCCTGTCTCAGCCTCTCAAGTGCTGGGATTACAGGAGAGCGCCATCCTGCCTGGCTGTAGGTTTTCGGTGCCATCACAACTCCTCCACCTGGTGAGAAATCCGTTGGTTGCCTCCATCCGGACTTATCTATCCGGCCAGCCACTCATGTCCTTCACATACATGTGGCAAAAAAAACAGAGAAAAGGTTTAAGACTTTTATCAAAGATCTGGAAATTCCAGAAAAGAGCTCTCAATTCATCATATTTTCTCCCGTTTATTCGTTAAATCATTTAAACCCCAAATTCTCTCTCTCCCCAGATGCATTCTTGTTCTATTATTTTGCCTCATATATTCTAACTTGAAAGATTATTTTGTCCCTGCAAACCTCAGAAAACACAAATGCTCAGGTCAGGGAAGGCTGCATGAGGCAAGGGTCTCCCTTGCCTGTGTAGCTGACCACTGTCGGGCAGATGTGAAGGTGGCCTCCGTTTTTGCCTGGGTGTAAAGCAGGCATGCGCAGAAAGCATCATGGCCCCCGAAGGTTAAACTGGATTGGAGACAGATTCTCCGACTGCCCTGCACGTCCCATGAAAGAGTGCCCATAAATGTGACAGTCACAGGAGCCTCCTCTACATCTGAGGCAGAAGAGAGGGCAGGAATGGAGCTGAGACGGTTTCCTAACGCCCACGCTGACTGTTGTCCGCCCTTGCGTCAGGCTTGAGAAAAAGAGGAACAAATAGTAAGAGAAAAGGGAATTGAAAAGAGAATGAAGACAGCGGGGCGTGGTGGGCACACACCCACAATCCCAGAATTTGGGAGGCTGAAGCAGGAGGATTGCCATGAGTTTGAGGCCAGTGTGGGCTACATAGTGAGTTCAAGGCCAGCCTGAACTTGATGGTGAGTTTCTGTTTCAAAAAAAATGACAGAAAAAATATGAATATCCCCTTAGATATCTTAGACCAAATACAATATTGACAGGTACTACTTGTAGAAACTTTCAAAGCGAGGGAATGAATATACATATATATGTATATATTCAAATAAATACTAATTTGTTGTGTTGAGTGCTAGGAAAAAACAAAGGTACGAGTGCGCCTGTCAGGACAGGTTTATTCTGAACAAACCTGAGAGGGACCGCATGGCACTTAGAGCAGACCAGCGACTCTTGTACAGGCTGTAAGGTCTTTCCTAGGGCCGTGACCATAAAAGGAAAGGTCGTATTGGAACTTGCTGGAGGCGGGGTGCTGGGGGAGAAGTTCTTTTGGAAGGGAGCTGCGGCTCCCCGCCAGCCACCGAGCCTGAGAAAGTGCAGGGAGCTGCGCTTGCCTGTCAGGAGCAGGGCTGGAGTTACGGGTGTGTGGTCACCGGCCTTACTAACCCGCGGCTACACCTTGTTAGCAGGTTCACAGCGCAGCGGGTGGGAGAGGCTGACCGAGGTCTCCGGTGAGCCCAGGGTGGGGCGGTCCGACTCCTGCACTGAAGTACGAAGCTTGCGAGAAGAACTATGAAAGGATAATCAAGTAAGGTTCAGGCTGGCCTCAAATTTGTGGTGATCTTCCTGCTTCAGCCTCTTCAGCGCTGGAATTACAGGTATATGCTGTCATACCCAGCAGGAAGCGTGTGTTGTGAGACTATTAGGAAAAATCAGATTCCTATAGTCAGATGACTCACCCACTGTTCCAAGGTATTACCAGTAGGGTTAAATTTGTTGAGATAAAATTCCAAAACTAGATCCTGCTATCAAGGCTCAGTTTACCTTCACTGGACATTTGACCTACGCTGGAAGAACCTGCTAAAATCATCTTGGGTAAAATTTTAAGGCATTCCACTTGGTTTACTAACTTTGACAATTATATTACCCAAATAATGAGAACCTTGTTTTGTAAACAGCCATTCTTAATTTATAAGAATTTAAACATAGGTACTTAAAAAAAGTAAGGTTTCATTTTTAAAAAGTCAGCCAGCAGGCCAGAGACACCGTGCAGGCAGCCTTTCTGAATCTAAGCAAGAAAAAGTGACCAAAGCATCCTTCTCCTCATCTGGAGCTTCTCATCTTTACCTGCGTTTAAAAATATACAAATATCCCCTCAAAAGTGCTGTACTGACCCGAAACCCGATCAGCCGAGATCTCGTCAGATAGCTGCTAAAGACACCCCGGCTCTGAAGCAGGCTTGACAGTTAGAGAAGATCGGGGGAGAGGGAGAGATACCCGGGGCCCTTTCGGCTTCAGAACTTCGGCCTGAGCCAGGCCCAGCCAGACCGGTCAAGTCACCCGCTCAAGTCACCCGCTCAGGCGCCACAGGCAGACGGAGCTGATTCCGCTGGTCCTTGCGGAGAGCGGAGCCTTATCTCGCGCATCCGCGGCACACGTGTCCCTCCGATGTTCCTGATGAAGGTGACGGCGCTGAAGCCAGCGGGCGGGAGAACAGATATCCCCGCTCCTGATCTCCTCCTTTCTCCTCTGTCGTGTAAATGCTCCTCAGGCTGAAGATTTGTTAACCTGGTCATTTAACAAAGATTCTTTAAAAACAAAACAAAACAAAACAAAACACAGTTTAATCATTTTCATAGGGATCTAAAATTCTGGTTATGCCGGGCGTGGTGGTGCATGCCTGTAATCCCAGCACTTGGGAGCCTGAGGCAGGAGGATCCTTGGGAGTTTGAAACCGCCTGAGCTACAAAGTGAGCTCAAGGCCAGCCTGAAATGCATAGCGAGACTCTGTCTCAAAAAGACAAAAAACAAATAAACAAAAAAAAAAAAACAACAACCATTGTTAATCTCCTATCACCTTGTCTGAATTTCAATATTGTTTGTATTGTTCTTGTGTTATTTGGTAAATGTATGTGTGTTTGTTTATGTTTTCATTCTTTTATTTTTTAAAATAGAAAAAAAAGTAAAGAGCAACTGGGATGAGGGAAAAGAGAAAAGAAAGAAGGGGAAATTATGTCTATATGTATATATAGGAGAGTTAACATAGTTGCACTACGGACTTCTATTGCTTTATTGAAAGGAACAATTAGTGATTAATTATTTGATCAATCTTATGTGTCTGTTTTCCCGAGTAACCGCTTTGAAGAAATCAGTATGTAATACAACGACCGTTGTTAATTTCCTATCACCTTGTCTGAATGTCAGTATTGCTTGTATTGCTCTTGTGTTATTTTGTAAATGTGTCTGTGTTTGTTAATATGTTTTCATTCTTTTATTCTTTAAAATTAAAAAAAAGACAACAAAAGTTCTGGTTATTCCATAGATTGGGTGAAGAAGATGTGAGGGCGCTTTGGAACAGCGGGCATTCTCCAAGAAACAAAGAAAGGGAAGAGTGGCCTCATGATAGACTCGGGTAAGAGGATCTTAGCAAATCCAGAAAGTAGTCCGGTGCCCACTTCCCTTTTGTTCTTCTGGTTGGTTTCTTTGTTTCTTTCTTTTTTTTTGTCTTTTTGTTGCAGGGTCTCGCTATGCAGTTCATGCTGGACTCGAGCTCATTTTGTAGCCCAGGCTGGTCTCGAACTCTCAATGATCCTCTTGCCTCAGCCTCCCAAGTGCTGGGATTACAGGTGTGCGCCACCACGCCTGGCCTGGTTGCTTTTCTTTTTTTTTTTTTTTTTTTTTTTCCATACCTGGAATTGAACTCAGGACCCTGCACTTGCCAGGCAGGTGCTTGTGCTGCTGAGCTATATCCCCGGCCCCCACTGCTCATGTCTTCCCATCTCAAAGGCAGCTCTGAGAAGGCAGGATCTGTCTAGGTTGAAAGTGAGAAGGCCACTACTATCTGTCCATAACTCTGTAATGTTTGTGTTGTTCCTATGCTATTTCGTAAATGGAT